TCGTCGTTGCGGGCAGCAAACAAAACACAGTAAATCGTGACGTAATAAACAGGACTCCCGATGCAGAGTAGCATAAACGAGTCCTGTTTATTACGTCACGATTTACTGTGTTTTGTTTGCTGCCCGCAACGACGACTTTTACACAAATTGCACGTTCGGGTCGAAACAGGACCTGAAAAATAGCTCTCAAAAGTACCCTTTGTACTCATTTCATGACAGAAACAATAGTCGTTTTTATTTCATCACACCTTAGGCTACATATACCCAAAAAATGACGGAAATGTCTTCGAGCATTCCACAACCTCTTTAATAGAATTAACAGTACTGGTACATGTAGTTTCCTGTAAACGAATATATTTGGGATTTATGTGATCAAGGAGAAACAATTGTCAATTTTTTATTGCACTGTTGTGAGTATTTTAGTGGCAGCATATGGAAGCATGGATCTTGCGTATTGCCAAATTTAAATAATTTAAAACCGTATGGATCTAGAAGTGAATATGTAATCAAGATAATAGCATAAATATTCAGTCGTGCTTTTATCAAACAAATATATCAATTAAAATACAAGTTCAATTGTATCTGGTTTATTACTGGCAGCTGGTAAGATTGCATTTGTTTCATATCCCGAATGCATGCAGACACAATCTTTTCAATTTTTCAGAAAGCCAATATTATAAAATATAATAAAACAATAGGAATATGCCATAAGGCTTGGGAAATATTTTATATATTTTTGTAGCCTTGGAGAACAATAGATTGGCAGGACTTGGTCCGGCAAGTGATTAGTCTGAAATTAATATTGTATAGGGCTTACTACAGATTGGCCTTCCGATAATTGCCTGTCACTTCTCTCACGAAAGAAGAATGAAGCATCCCCGTACTGGAGGCCACCGAGAACCTAAAAAAATTAAGATAATGGTAATTGCCTTCTGTGTATTTGTAATATTTTCTTTATTGCCGATGGTGACAGGCTTAATTTTTTTTCCCTCTGAGGACACGTAAGTACTTCAGGGTCCAGCTGGCACTGTATAGCTATGGACGGCTGTGTCGCTGACCGTAAATTGTCCTCGTCCGCAGAAAACCAAAGTGGATTTTTTTTTATCAAAACGGCCTTGATTGGTTTCGTAATAAGGAATAAATAAGTTAGTAATTTGGTGATTAACAAAAACTGTTACGGTTTAACGATTGGAATTGTGTCCACACTGGTTGTGTTGTTGCAGGTTGTGTTCCCAAGCAGGATAGTTTACCTAAAATTGTCCTCGTCCGCAGAAATCCAAAGTGGATATTTTTGATCAAATCATCGGCCTTGAAGGGTTTTACATTGTTGAGTAAATTAGTTTGTAATTTGCTTATTAACAAAAGCTGTTACTCAGGTTGTGTTCCCAAGCAGGATAGTTTACTCCAACTTGCCTCTTTTTCCTCAATGTTGGAGAATTGTGTTGGGAAAGTGAAGCTTTTTCCTACCGTTTTTCACAAATACGGCCCACTATTGATTTCCAATGGTATGGGCCTTATTCACGAGTCGGCCATATTGAATTGAAAGTGAGGTAAAATCTTAGTTTTTGGAACTTGCAAAGAGAAACGAAAGCAACTCAATTGCTATCAATTCCAGTCTGCTTCAATGAATAATTTTAAATGTGTAATTGAAATTCCCTAATGTTTAAAGCCAGATTGGAAAAAAACCCCAGTAAATTAAGGCTGCATTGTTGCTGCATAAATAGTCTGGCGCCATCCAATTGAACAGTTAACACTTAATGAAATACGTTCAGGAAACTCGACAAAAATGGCCAACTCGTGAATAAGGCCCATTGCTGGTTTTGTCCGTAAGCAGGATAGATTACCCCAACTGGCCCCTTTTTGCCTTCATGTACATGTAGGAGAATTGTGTGCAAAAATTCATCCGTAAAAAACTTTGCGTGTCATGCCATAATTACGCTAAAAAAACAGCCCACTGGCAGTTTTGTATGGTATCGCAGGTTTGCCCTTAAACAGGACAGTTTACCTCAATTGGCCTTTTTCCTCTTTGTTGGAGAATTGTGTGCGCAAAATTAAATCGGGAAAAGTGACTTTAGTTCTCCTGTTACAAATGCGACCCACTGGCGGTTTTTAATGAAGGACGATAGCAAGCAAATAGTGAGCCGGGTACATGTAGTTAATGCACATCGCTAGATTAATCCGTGTGCATCTTTGCGCGATTACAAGCGATCCCCGGGGGTATCAATGTCTGTAGCATCAACCGGCCAATGACGTCATTGTTTATCCTACTTGCCTTTTTATTTCTAGTTGACCGTATGCAGTTTGCATGCCAAACAACTAGTAAAAAACACACATACTGGAATTTGTATCCTTGTGGAGACATTTCTTTGTTCTCCTGCAGTAAAGTTTTCGAGTTTGAAAAAGTAGTTTCAAAATGCTTTTATTTAAACCAGAATTAATTTCCTTGGCTGAAATTCGGACTTAATATCCCTTTTCTAAAACTCTACCGTTTGCGACAGATCAACATTCTTTGGAAATTCCTAGTTTTTTAGTAAAATTCATGTATTTCGTGAAAACCTTGTGGAGACGTATTTGTCTATTGAAATTGCCCTGTGGAGACGTATACATACAATCTTTTGTTCCCTATTGTGTGCATGTCTCCAGAGGGCACGGTGTATCAGATCAACACAATTGAAGCTACGTTTACGTACACGCACAGCATGCACAGACTTCACCTGAGACTTCTGTTGAAAATTTGCGAGAATTAGTGGCTGTTTGGGACAGCGGAGACTGAAAAATATCTGACAGAGGTGCACAGTCATCTTCGGTAGCTAGAGGTTAAAAGTTCAAGATTGTCCAAGGACTGATGAACGTTTTGCTGAAAGACGAAATCTCCAGAAAATTGGAAGATCCAACTGCTGGTCCCAGAGGGCCGGCCTTGCTTCGTCTTTTTAACATTTTCACTGACTCACTGATTGTCTCTTGTGAGCCAGACAAAAATTGCGAGTTTGAAAAGAAAAAGAAATTGCATGGCATGATGTCTTGAAGCATTGACACATGGGGCAATCTAAGCTCGGAAGTGACTTATTACTGCCTGATCAGGCCGAGTAGTTTCATACTTCCGTCGAACTTGACCTACAAATTTTGACATACATGTAGATACATGCGGGCCTAGTTGTACTACGATTGCTTCTTGTTAATGTAGATTTGTTCTGCCGTTTTTTTGTAAATTTATGTGGGCAAGCCCATGGGAATAGGAAGTGCTGTGGGTGCTGCAGCACCCCCAACTTTTTGGATGGGGTGCTGGAATAAACTAAAGCACCCCTACCCCTGGCAAAAATGTGTTCCAGCACCCCCTGGAAAAATGTATTCCAGTGGACTGATGCAGGATTTAAATAAGTTCAGGCTGATGACCATTTACTTGCTACCTGAGGAATATCCCTTGTGAGTTGCTTGCATGTGGGCTAAGAGATTTTCGGCAACTGCAGAACCGAATTTCCAATTTTTTCTCCAAAAATGCCAGTTTACCATTCAAGATTCTCCTAAAGTCTGTTTCTCCAATGGCACGTGTTCAAATAGTTCTGTGTGTTACATGTGAGGCGTGTAGAGGATGCCAATTGAAAATTTGCTGATGAGAACTTTTCCCTCAACAATTTGCTGCAAAATTGATTTACCCGGTATGCCCAATTGTCCCTGTACCAACCCTAACTGACCTGCCTGTTAATCCCTGTACTGCCCCAACCACCCCAGCACTGAAAATGTTGTGGATTTGTCAGGAAATACAATGTAAAACAATGTAATACAATGTAATACAGCTGCTAATTGGTCAAGATCCTCCAATGGCATTCAGTTTTGATTTCAGCTAGACTTGCCCTTGAAACTACAGTTTTTTTCTTAACATTAGATAATACAATATGTGTTGATCTACTTTGCTTTTTTCTGTGCCCAAAATAATTTGCTGTGGTGTTTATCTATTTCAAATCAAAGCTAGAACCCATCAGAAAAACACACATATGGTATGAACTATCGATCATGCTCCAGTCATAAATGTCCCATTATATAATATACTGAGCGTACCTGCAATTGATTTTTTTCCACATGTCTAGTGCCAAATTATTGATCTGGATGCAATACCAGGTGGTGTCTATACACAAACTTTCGTTGACAAATTTTATAATAATTGGACACTTCATAATGCTCTGTGTATATAACGTATTTGTATTTGCTCGAAAGTCAAGCTTGATTGCAGAGCTGTTTGATGTCCACAAGTTGTTTTGTTTCTAAAATATAAATCAACTAAGCTAACAGAAAATGAGCAAAATTGCAGGTGATATCTGCAGAGGGTTTTGACAAGATAATTGTAATTTTAAAAAAAGAAGAAGAATTACTCGGTGCAATAGGAACAGTGTATATGACAGAAGAGCAAGTAAGGATACTATAGAAAATCTGGGCTACAGTTATTGGGGGTGGGGGAGGAATAAACCAAAGCCAACAAGAAGGGTAGGGCATAATTTATCGTAAATGTAGAGGTATAAGTTAAGTTATAGTGTCAAATGATCTTCAAACAAGAAAACATTGATAAACTTATAATATATATATATATTCAATAAATTAGTAAGACTAGCTAGTCCCAGACTAATTCAAGGATCAAGGTAGTCATCAGAGTCAAACTTTTGGGCCAAGGTGAGACTCGAGCAGGTGTAATTCACAAGTGACAGTCAGTCATTCAGTCAGTCAGTGAGGTACTCAGAACTGAAAGGACTGTAGGCTGGCCCTCTGGGACCAGTGAAATCAATAAAGCACACCTTTTCAATGGATTTCTGTGAAGTGGTAAAGTGGGAAGAATCCAAGATTCATCAGAAATAAAAGTCAGTATCTCTTGGTCGGGGAACCAGACTATGGTCTCCCCCAACTCTACCTTTCTTGCCGGTGAGGGGGTACTTGTGAACGGAGCCCGTAGCAAGCACTAAAAAATTTCACTCTTGACGATTTTTGTTGCTTTTCTCTCCTTCCTTCTGCAGACTGTTTTCGCGCTGCAGCAGAAGCCGGACCCCACGATATACTCAAGCTGTATAACATCAAGGGCAACATAGTCAACATATCGCAGAAGTTGGACGAGAACACGCCCGACACGCCTTACAAACTGGAAGTGGTCGCCTCCCAATGCACGGGTAAGATGTTTCAACATGAGCAATTGAAATCTGGGCGTGGTTTTGTGGTTATGAGAGGGGGGGGGTATTTGTATCATCCGGGGCACCACAAATGTGACGAATATGACAATTTGCCACAAAGTGACATAACTTTTCGTGCACAGGATTCGTCACTTTGCGGTGGGGTAACTATCCACGGTACGTCACATTGTGGTTTATACCAGCGATTCGATGGGGGGGGGGGGGGGGCAGTTGCACGTTCTTCTCCCTCAATCCTGTCCAGTTGCAGATCTATTTGGGAGGGGGGGGGGCAATTAGGGGATCTAAACCTCCTCTGTGGCCCCCAAAAATAGGACGTAGCAAATTCGTAGTAAATTCATTCCTTGTTCATTCATTTTTCATTCATTAATTAAAACATTTATTGCCATATTGCTGAAAATCAAAAGCCACAAAATAAGTCGATGAACATTAACATTAAATGAGACACTTAATAGGGAACATTGTATACAGGCTGTAAGTAGGCTGCACAGTCTAGGTTGTAATTAATGCACTGCCCCAAAGCTGGCCTTGAAAATTTCCACAGCACTGAAAAAAAAAAGGATTCAAGACAGGCCGACCACTCCATCTTGTCAGAATGAGTTGATGGGATTAGGAAGAGCTAAACTGATCAAAGTGGCACTGGCAAATTAGTCGAAATGGCAGCCTTTCATCGCCGATGTCATTCCATCAACTTCTGTGTTCGTACAAGCAAAAACAGGGGTAAAACTATTAATTGCAACCCTCTGTCACTCGCTCCACTACCAAAAATGGGTTCCGTCGATGCGGTCAGAGCGTAATGCAGTGGCATTTAATTTGAGTGACATTTATTTATTTTTCAGCTGCGTACTTGCTTGGTTTCTCTCCGTCACCCTCCCGTGCCTTAATCCAATAAACGCAATCGTGGTAAAGAGCCCCCGCGTGCTGCTTCAATATGTTCCGGGGTATTAACTCAGTCGCGCCTGAGAGGTTCTGCTGTTGGACCCTGACTAATCTAAAGGCAATGATTCTGAGGACTTGATTTGAAGAGTTTTTTTCTTAAAGATGTTGACGTTCATTTACACGGTGAGTCCAAAATAACGAAACCCTAGTGTTGGGACCATTGTTTTAGGGAAGTTCTGCATGTAGAATTTTCAAAATCCAGGATATGAAAGCCAAATTCATAAGCCTTCTTTTAGTACAAGAATCATTCAAATCACTCATGTACTTTTCAAGTTACAGAATTTTAAACACAACCACCGTTTTAAGGTTCTGTCCATGGACCACAAAAAAGTTCAGTGTTCTTTCAGCAAAACGAAAACAAATCACATAGGGATGCGTGTGAATTGTTTTCGTTTTGCTGAAAGAACGCACACCTTTTTTATAATCAATGGAATTTGAAAGACAAATTTGACGAACAGTTTGTTTATTTTTCAAATAAAAAAACGTGATTAACCAGCACCATATGCATACATGCTAGATTCCATATCATTATGCTGTAAAATATGATAACTATCACTGAGACTCTCAGAGGCTACAAGTCCCTTGAAAATGGTATTAAATTTTCCGAGCACTTCTTCGGTTGAGTCAAATGAGATAAAAATGAGTCCCATCTGTCTGGTTGACCCCCTCAGAAACCCTGCCATATGGACGCCAGCGTTCCTGCCTCCAGGATTCAGTTTCGTTTTCTCTCCTGGTAATTAATTGGAACGTGTAAGAATCTTTGAATGGTACATCTGTACATTTTATGTGCCACCCTTTTCTTCAGGTCTTGGAAGGTTGGACAGAAATTTTCCTGAGTTAAAGGGAATATACACTGTACAACATTTGCAAACATCGAAAAATAAAACTACTAAGTTTTTACAAAATACCTTACTAGGATGTTGGTAAATGATAGTCTAAAGCATCCTGTAAAATTATGGCACCTGGTGTGAAGTCATTTTCAAGAAAATGGTATTTTTGTATACATTTCCAACGTTGGTCGGCCGACCACCGTTGGAAAAACCTAACTATTTTTAACTATACTGCTCCAAATTTACTATTTTTTTTTTCAGTCCAAATTTTGTTTGCTATTGGTTACATGTTCATGAACAGGTGCAGGCCAGCTAGACTGGTTCCCTAACCTTACAATTTTCCGGCATCAATACATTGATCCATTTCATCTTTAGTGGAGTCAGGGAACCAGACTACTTGAACATTTTTGTTTTTCTTGGTTTTTCCAGCATTTTCAAACACAAAACTTCAAACATGTCAGTGTAACAATATTTGATCTATTATATTAACCCCTCAAATAGTTCATTTCTGAAAATTACAGCAAAAGCCAATGATGTACATTCCCTTTAACCAAATTCCAATACTTCAGCACAGTTCTGAAACAAGATTGGAACACCAAGCCCATATTATACGAAATAATGACTGTTTATGAGTGCAATGGTAAGAATAATTTCATGAGGTGACAGACGGAATGGTCCATTCCACTCGGCTTCGCCACGTGGAATGGATTCCATCCGTCACCGAATGAATTATTCCTTCCATTGCACGAATGTGAAACATTCATTATTTGTTATTCATTATTTGTTTATAATACAACACCTAAATAAATCCTCGTCATCTGATTGGTCAGATCCACCAGAAGTGTGACCGTGCAATGGAACTTCCATTCACCATGTAATGGAACGTCTATTTTTGATGTGCGGCCGTGCCGTGCGTTGGCACGAATAATTCAATGACACGTGATCACCGACCCACCAATCAGGTGATGCAGATTTATTCAGGCGTTGCATAAAAAGTTATGATCTCTGTGCTGAACATGAATCTATTCAAATATTGCAGAAATGAATTTTGATGAATCAACCCCGGTTCATACTTCACGCGAAAGCAAGTGTGAAGCAAAATTCATGTCGTCAACAATGGTGGACGCGCTTCGAACGTATATTGTTGACGTCACGAAGTTCGCTTCGCTTTCGCGTGAAGTATGAACCGGGCTTTAGTGTAGTTAGGAAAATTACTGTTTATATTTCCTTTTCAGTCCATGCAAGAGGAAAAATTGTGCGCAGTTTTATAGAAGGAAGTGATTTGACACATTGTGTCCAGACAAACTGAGATTTCCCTGCCTGCAAAATGATCAACAATTTTGTAACAAAAAGCCGTGAATGAGTGAGCGTTTATATCCATTCCAACTAAAAATCCAAGCACTCATTGAAACTGCTGCATTGATCAATTTCAAGGTACGGACTGTTTTTTTTTTCATATTAATTTCCTCTGCGCATGGACAACTTGATCCTAATTCATGTTGAATGTGTCTATTTACTGTGGAACCCGAGACGCAATGAGAAAAAAACATTCTGTCTCGGCCACAAGGCAAGCTGTAGGCCTCAGTGCGCCACACTCTCTGCGTGTCGTAATCATCCCCATACCTCCAACTAGTAAATTACTCCGATTGCTTTCAGAATGAAGGGAAGAAAAAAACAGGCTGCTGGCAAAATAATCACGGGCGACTGTTTCCAGATGATATTTCCTTTAAAGGGCAAATACGCGGTGCAGTCCTGCGATGAAACTTAAAGGGGAAGAAGGGATAGAGATGACATTGAAATGTGAGAACAAATGTAAAGCAGGATCACTAGGTTTACAAATGCTCTTTCTTTATTCTTGTCCTCCCCCCCTCTCTCATGAAAAAAAAATGGACCAAAATATATTTCCGGGATGTTTGGAGATGTGACAGGTTGATTGTAAAACATTCTTGAACATTTCTGACATTGGAGACCTTTGCTAATTCAAATGACATTCTAGATATGCCGTTTATCTTGAAATCAAAACTTTTGATTTTAAGATAAGGGAAGAATTTCCTGTGTGGTGGTGTGGTTACGGGGCGTAATGCCAGAAGCACTTTTCTGAAATGTGCACACATGTACTTACATGCATGTTGGCATATAGCATGATTTAGCCGATTATATTTTAACAGTCGTACAGTCAAAATTTCCATCCACTTCCCCCGCTATACTTTTAACACAGGCTAGTCTTCTAGCAGTCAGATCATACATTGTATTTCGAGCAAGCACTGTGACTAGTCAAATTCAGTCAACAAACAAAAGCAGGCAACTGGTAGGCACAGCTGTCTTACTACTCACCTACAGTCAAAGCAAAGCTGTATCAAGTTACATAAACAGTCACAGCCAGTCAATCCTGCTTTATGTAGGCTGGGAGCTCTTAACTGTTAAAATCAGACTCTTGACTGATTTTGACTGAAAGGACAACTTTGCACAGAATGTATGTTTGCAGGAGGGTTAATACTGTAAAATATTTGAACCTCCATTAAGTAACCCATAAAATCTATATATATAAGAGAGAAGTTTACTCGCCCCCGAGACGATGTTTGCTCCTGAAAGGATCCGAGACCGCGGGCTCCCGCGGCGGAGGGTGTCTTCCGCCGGGTCGGACGCTTTGGGTCGTCCTGATTTTCCCGTACGGACCGGCGATCCGTTTCGTCGATTTTTCGTGACTGCGTTTTGCGCAGGAATTTGCCGTCGTGTGCGCTTTCACGTTGACTGCCTGGCCGCCCCCCGTGCTGGCTTTTCTGCGTGTCTAGACTGTGCGAGGTCAGCGAGGTCAACGTAGGGGTTTCGTTTACGTGTTCTACTCGGCCGTTCGGCAAAAGTGTTCACCAAACGTTAGTATGTGGTGACCTTGGTAAAATATTTTTTGTCCATGGTGCGTGGCCACCAAGTGTCCCTATTCTTTCATATGCTTCGCTTACCGCCCCTGCGCCAAGTGCAACGAATACTCAGAAGGACTACACATTAGTATGCCTAGCGCGGTCTGACCAATCGAAAGTCTACACTGCGTGGTACTTCCCGGCTATGCGTAAAACCGTCACTGGCAGCGCGTACTGCAGCCTGCTCCACACCCTGGAAACGAGGTTGAGTCTACGGTGCTCGCTATTTGAAGCACAAGCATGTGACGTCGCGTGATAGAGTGCTGCTGTTGCTTCCATAATCAAGGCTGCGCTG